TGGTCCAGGGTCACATATATATATATATATATATATAAATATATTAAAATTGCTTTAAAATAATTGCATTTTTTTATTATTAATAACATAAATTCTAATAAAAATTATTATAACTAATTATTTTTTTAAAAAGCAATTCGTTATATGTATTATTATATAAAAAAAACAAAATGGACTTAAGTTTAAAAATTATTTTATATATTTAACATATTTAATTTGAATATATTTATGTATTAATTTATTATTAATAATATACATAATTATAACATTAATTAGATGAACAGATGCAAAATTGTGGTGCAACTGACTGAAATGCTTTTCCTTTGCTGGTGGCAAAACACTCCAGCAATGTTGTACTATCCACACTCAACCAATAGTGGGAAGTGTTGCTTCATGAATATTTCCTGACGCCTACAGTAAGAACAGAATGGCAACAGCAGGAAAGAGGTTCACGCCACGGCAGAGTAAAAAAAAAAAAAGTTGGATCATCTCACTGTGTTCGTAATGCTTTCATAAGACGTGCAATCTCAGATACAACCTGAAAAGAGACAACCCATCAACAGAAGAATGTTTAGACACAGCAGATGAAGCTGTGAAACTCATTTGCTCTGTGATGATTATAGTTTTTGCAAGGCAGCAGTGTATTGATATTTCTCAAAAGTTCTGGTTAGGAGGCTTATTTTAAACTACTAACCCTCAGTATTACACTCACAAAGAAACTTCAGATTATATTTTAAAAATCTCCCATTTAAACCTAAAACCTACCCAAAAACTTTGCTGCCATGCAAGAACTGTTATTTCCAGTCAGTTCTGTCAGGACCACTATCGTCAAGATGATTGACAATTAGCATACAGTTTGGATTGGCGGTATGGTTCTGTTCTGGGCAAGAACTCCCTGCACATCCATGCAGCCTAGCATGGATGAGAGCAGTGAGAGCAGCAATAACCCCCCCAGGGTAAACAGAACAGAACCAACATAAATGTATTGCAGATATTGTTAAAGTTCAATAATTTTATGTACACATTTTAGAATTAGTCTGATTCAAAGGAGAATCAGAAGGCTGAATCCCGACTGACAGAGGAGGAGTTGGGGATGGAGGAGGGTAATTAGCTATTGAGCAATGCGAAAACTGCTGATACTACTTCGGGACCTTATATTTGAATGCTTAGATAGGTGTCGTATTCCCATAGGTAGATGGAGATCAGCTGAGAGTCAGCTGATGCGAGCTTGACTAACGTGACCTGCCAGAACTGATGCTACGCTTGATTTCTGCAGTCCTAAATGAGCTGTGTTTTTCTAAAGCAGAATTTAGATTAATTTCAGAAAGGACTGATATTAAGACTCTTTGTGGTCTTCTATATCCATGAAAGTGAGAATAATTTAATAAAAATAGACTTTAAAAAGTGCCTTTATGCACTTTTCTAATATCATATATTAACTTACAAAATTATATTCTGATTACCAATCAAATATTAAGCATGTAAAAAACGTTACGGTATTGCAGTATCATGTCATTGGCGTACCTCTTTTACTATCGCAGTAATTTGCTGACATCACCTTCCCAAAAAATGTACCACAGCAACCAGAGTTTCTGCCAAAATGTTCTGTTAATACAGTTTTTAGTAGTGTTTGCTAATGCAAGCATCAATATTACTACTGCTCATACTTCAACAAGCATTTTTTTTTACTTAGCACTTGTCTTACATCATTTGTGCGACAGAAATGAATGATGCCTCAATTCATGTGCCATGTTAAAGAGAGCTGTGGTGCTAAGTAATAGGACAACTTATTTATTTGTTTTATTTATTTTTTACAATTTGTGTCTACCAGACAAAAAACTGGTCAAAAATCTCACGAACTAACACTGAATAAGGGACTTGAGTCATATCTAGAGGCAGAAAATCACAGATGGACTCTTTTGACTAGGGCCAATAAGCAACCATACAGCAATTAGAAATTTAATTTTTTACTCACAGATAAAACCTTGAATTGATTTGTATGGCTTTTATTTTTCACTACACCGAGAAAAAAAAATGGTGTAGGATTTAATTTGCAATCATTTTCACTCAGAAATCGCAAATAAACACTCTGAATTCACAAATAAACACTGAGAAACCACTAGTAAGACACTGCAGTAAATGAGAAAGTTTTGAGCAGAAAGACTTCTTGTTAAACATACTCTAATAATCCTTGTTTTAGTGCAACTTTGAAAATAATATATTTTCCTATATTTCTAATATTTTTGCAGTAACCACTGTTTCTGTAAAATGGGCAGTTATAAATAATCATGTCCAAAACAATTATTTTAGAAAAATTGATCATGGTTGCAATGGTTCATATGTATTATTTTCAGTTTTAAGTATTTTTCATGGCACTCAATCCCTTAGCATTTGAATTAAACTGGGACAGTAAACCTAAACAAAAGTCATCACGCTCATCCTTATTTAAATAGACAAAAAGGTCTACATTAGTTTATCAGTTTTCAGTTTACTTTTCATGCTGCTAAAATGCATTTAATTTAAACCGGGACACTAAACAAAAGTATTCATGTTCATTTTATCGCAGAGTAACAATATTGTATTCTTTTTTTGGCAGAGCTACAATTGTACATTTTCATTATTTCATTTCAGTTTTAAAGGGACAGTTCACCCAAAAATGAAAATTCTGTCAAATAAAATGGAAGTCAATGGCTACCGTCAACTATTTGGTTACCAAAATTCTTCCAAATATCTTCTTTTACGTTCAACAGAAGAAAGAAACTCATACAGCTTTGGAATAACTTGAGGGTGAGCAAATTATGACATAATTTTTCATTTTTTGGGTGAACTGTCCCTTTTTCCATGCCGCTCAAATCCCCGAACACTTGAATTAAACCGGGACACTAACAAGTCTTCTCATTCATCCTATTATTAAACAGGCAAAAAGGTCTCCACTAGTTTATTGCCAAGAAATTGGCCGTTAAATTTGATGAACTCAGACATAATGACTCAATTATTGGCTTGGGAAGAGATGAACATGTTTGCTTCCTGCGTGACTAACTGTTTGTCTAACACCTCCGAGACACTCGCCGGCTGCTCGAACCCACAGCACAAGCCGAGCTCAGCTGTTAGATAACCTACCTCAAGAGAGGGCAGAGCCGCCACACTGGGTCCAGTCCATGGATTAGAACCCACAACCTTCCACTCACCAGCAGCCCAATGAGAGAGCGGGACTGAGGGAGGGAGAGTCAGAGAGATGGTCGGGGAGAGCGGGAGGGAACGGGGGAGCGGAGGGGTACTGACTCTCTTTTGTGACTGTGAAGAGGACAGGCCGGTGGAGGGAGACAGGGATCGGGGACGGAACGGCGGGGTACTCACGGATTGTCGGAAGGGTTGTGGGGGGGCAGGGGGTGGGATCTCCATGCTTGGCTGCTTCCCGGTGGCGATGCTCTTCCGCCGGAGCCGAGCTTGGTCTGAAAGAGAGAGCCAGAGCAAAGTATCACAACCAACAGCAGATAATGTAATACATGTAATGCAGATAACGGCAGGCTGGAAAACAATGATGTTTGCACAGATTTTTGCCCTGATTTGCAGTTTGGACGAGTCAATGCTTGTTGCCGAAAGTCTGAGCCAGTCTGCAGATTTTAAGCAGTCAGATATTTTTCATAGTCTACGATGGGCACAGACTCACAGACTGATTTGTTTTTAAGCTTCAGTCAGAGGATATCAATCATGTTTACATAAATATTTGAGCTGATTGTAGAAATTTGATTAGATTTTAAAAGTCTTTTATTTTATAGTGTCATATAGTGTATAGTGTATTGTTAACTAAACTATTTAAAATAGTTTTTGTTAACTGAAATAAAATAAAATAATAAAAAATAATAAATATTAGACAAAAAAATGAGAAATGAGAAATGTTGCCTTGGTAACAAACTGAATAAAAAAATAATTTTAAATAAGTAATAAGTTACTAAAATGACTAATTACTACATTTTAAAATTACTAAAACTGAAATAAATAAATAAATTTAAGGTAAATAGAAATATAAAAAAGTAATACAAAAAATTACAAGAGCACATAAGAAAATTACTAAAACTTCAACTAAAATAAAAATGAAAATATAAAAGTAAAGGCCTATTCAAAATAGGATATAGCATCCTATGAAGCATCCTTCACAGCATATAAATAATACTAAATAACATTGTAAGCTTATTATTAAAGGAATAAATCACCCAATAATGAAAATTAATTTTATTTAATTTTAGTGAATTTGCATTTTAGTGAAGTATTTTACCCCACTTTTAATATGGCAATGGCAATTTTATTTATATAGCACTGTTTACTACAACCAGAGTTGACCAATGTGCTTTACAACAGAATAACTAAAAACAGCAAAAACACAATGAAAAATAAAAACAGTAACACCAAGAACAAGGAGAGAAAAAGGAAAGAAAAACATCATAACATCCAGCAAAAATATAGGACAAGGATAAAGAGTGCTTCAACCAGAATTAAAAGCCTTATCGAACAGATACGTTTTTAATTTAGACTTAAAAATAGCCACAGATGAAGCCATTCTAATAAAAATATCTAATAATATCTAACAGAAATAGTATTTTTGGCAAACATGTTCAAAAGTTGTTCATTCACATGACATACTGTAAAGACTTCACATCAGTGGATTAGAAAAAGTTATTTTATTCTACATAACGATGGCCATCATGCAAACATGACTATCCGAGCACTATTTGCTTTATACTTTCAGATGTGGATTAAATACATCATGGGCAATAAATACACCTGTTAATGGGGTTAATGCCCTCATATCACCAGCAAAACAAACTTAAATAATTGCCAAATTCGAGTTGCTAGAGTTATTTGTCAGTTACTAGCCATTTTGTAAACCAATACATCTTAGATCACAAATTAAGAACTATAGACTGTCACTTGCTGATGTAATCAATGATATCCGTCATTAATCACATTAATTTTAACAACTTTTTAGTGGAAAATTTATCATGGGAAGACATATTTTGTCACATGTTTGTTGCATTAAGCCACTAAAACAACAATATGAGCAAAAAATTCAATGTGGCTTTTCTTTACGTTTTTGTGCCAGGTTGCATTTCAGCGAGAGACGGAGTCTGGCTCATCTCGTATATGATGCTGCGAGTGACACTATGGCTTTGTCCCAAAACCAAGTGGACTGCCAATGTAGGCAGCTTTCCCAGCACAAAGGCTGTTCCAAAAGGTAAGATACCTTCTTTTGGCTGTTGTGATGAAGGCAATCCCATAATGCATTTCAACAAGCATCAATCCATCTAAAATGGCCAATTAAGCAAAAGAAATGTCAGCAACTATAAACATAATTCATTCTATACAAAACTCATTAATAATGTTTAAATATGGACTATTTATTGATTATTTATATGTGTGCTATGTACAGTATTTTTATTCCAAATCAGTCACTTACAGTAGGAGTTTCAATTTAAGTTGGTTAAGTTGGTCTGTTCAAAATAGCTAAATAATGTAATTTTATAAGTAGATATGAATATAAATAAAAACTTTTGAATAGTGTGTGTGTGTGTGTGTGTATATATATATATAGATAGATAGATAGACTTCTATGCTACATTAAGAACAGCAAAATTGTTAAATAATATTACCATTTAAAATAACTTTTTTCTACTGTACTATATTTTAAAATGTAATTTATTCCTGGAATGCAAAGGTGAATTTTCAGCATCATTACTCCAGTCTTCAGTGTGACACGATCCTCCAGAAATCATTTGAATATGCTAATATGCCTTCACTATTTTTGATAAACGTTGAAAACTATTGTGCTGCTGCATAGATATCTAAGGAATAGGAAAACAGAAATCTTTTGTAACATACATATCTTTACTTTCACCTCTGATCAATTTAATGTGTCCTCGAAATTCGAAATATTAATATCTTTAATAAATAAATAAATAAAGAAAAAACATACTGACCCCAAACTTCCCCCAATTTCATGACCAGCAAGCAATATTTATAGCCAGTAAATGTTCACAATTAAACTGCTTTTTGGCAGAAGTGGCAAAAAGTTAATTTTGGACCATAAAAATTACACAACCAGTAAAGAAAATGGCAAAACAATGAGAAATAAAACAGCTTAACTGCAGGCACAAGAGAAAGGCACTTGCAAACAAAGTGCTTATTGACTGGCGTCCTTGAGTGAGTACCAGATACAGAAGCGCAGTCATTGGCAGAGCTGTAGACATGACTATTGCTCAGGAACGTTAAGTCATTAAAATAAGACCAACAGAAACAAATGAATGGACGGTTTAATGAACATAGAGGTGCTGGGAGGGGAACAGCCTGAAAGAAGCAGTCCTCCACCATCAAACCATCCGTCTCTCCTGCTCGCTGCTGTGATAACCCTCCCATAAATCTGAGTGTAAATACCCACCCTCTCTCCAGCCAATGCAATCTGTCTCTCTCTCTCAATCTCTGAAGCTCACACACACACAAACACAGCCACACAGTTCTCTCGCCTTGCACCCACGCAACTCTTTTACATAAATCAAACAGTGTATTTATCCATCTCTCTGCCTCTCTCTTTTTTATCAGAGCATTTTCCTTCTCCTCACCTCTCACATTCATTCCCAGTCCATTCTCTGCACTTTCAATCTCATCCGTTTTTTCTGTCTCTTCACGATCCTAAACATCAGACCTCAAATCTCAAAATCTCTCCTCCTGATCTGATGTACTCTCTCCTGATGCACAGCCTTGACTGAGCTGATTTCACAGATCTTATTATGTAATACATCAGTTATAGTCAAATATATTTTACATATTGATTCATCTGAGGCCAGTGTTCTTGTCTCTTGACTACATTTGGCAATCTTGAACTGGTTCTTATTCAGAGTTGGTTCTATTTTTTTTTTTCAAATAGGACTGGTTCTGTAATACTGTATACTGTAAATGAATAATTTTATGACTTTTGGCTCCACTAATAGTTTTTTTTTTGTGTATGTGTGCCAGTAGGGACAGAAGACCATAAAAACATGCAACAAGCATCAGAGTTGTTGCCGTGACAAAAGACAAGAATCTTCTTTTTTATTACTCTGAATCAACAATCAGCTTTCACACGTGAGTAATTGTTCCTTGTTCGATTAAAACTTAATTTTGTATCATATATTCCACTCCACAGACACAGCATAGATTACACTCTGTCTTAGGTTTAAGAGACATAACAAAGTTAGTACATTTATACATTAAATATAAGGATACTTTCTGAACTCAACAAAACAGTAATAACAAATTACTGTTTAAAAAAAAATGTATACAATTGTTAAAAAAAATAAATAAATACAATGTAAGAAACATTTCTTATTGTCAATGTTGAAAACAGTTGCTGCCAAATATTTTTGTGGAAATTGTGCCACTTTTAAATTTTTGATGAACAGAAAGCTTAAAACAACAACATTCATTTGAAATAGAAATATTTTTGAACATTATAAAAGTCTTTACTGTCACTTTTGATCAACTTAATGTGTCCCTGCTGAATATAAATATACATTTATTTTTAAAAAACACCTACTTAATCAACTTTTAGAAGTACACTAGCACTAAAACCCACGAAATTGTTAATGGAGTCTTTAAAAAAATCACGCCCACGTTGTATGAAAGAGGCTTTTTGATGAATTTAAAAAAGAATGGTCATTTTCAGATGAAATAATCAGCGTGTTATAGAGACATGTGTTTCCATGACGACTGCGAGACTTTGAAGAATGTATAACTTTGTTCTGATTTGTTCTGATTGCTCTGTTGAATTCAGAATGAATGCAATATTGTTTTTCAAACACTGTCCATTCTTTCTTCCTTAAAATTACTACAATAACATAAGACAGAACTATCACGGAACCAAGAAATTGTTAAGTGCAATCAAGTTGTGAAACAGAATCACTATATTTCCTAGAATTTTCATCCCTACTCTTGATGTATCGCCAGTCAATTCCAGTCCTGGATGCCGATTGGTCAATACAACATTTGTATGAGTTTCTTTCTTCTGTTGTAATCAAACAGTTGACGGTAGCCATTGACTTTCACAGTAGTTCCATAGTATTTTTTCCATAGTATGGAAGCCAATTCAGCATTTTATTTTAAAGACTACCGTCAACTGTTTGGTTACCAACATTTTTCAAAATGCTATATTTTGCCATATTGTGAATACACTCACTTCTGAAGTCTTCTGAAGAATCCAGTATTCATTAACCATATATTCACAATATAGGAAAACATCTCTTACCTCATTGCTTAAATAACAAACTAAACTGAACATTATACTAAAAGTACTATATATATATATATATATATATATAGTGTGTGTGTGTGCGTGTGTGTGTGTGTGTGTACATATATATATATATATATATATACTGTGACTGTGCGCAATATGTCAGAGCAAGACAAATGATTCAGCAAA